GGTGTTCTTTTAACCTCGTTTTTATGGGTCACCTGGTTTGGCCTATATATGTTTTATCACAATCATTACAACTAATTTCGTATATTCCTGACTTTTCAAGTGTGTCCATCTTATCTTCTGGATAACCTACCCTGATAGCATACAACGTCCTAGGGACGTCATTAGTAGGTACAATCCAAGTCCGAATGTCCCGGACCAAAAATAAGTGTCCTTGGGACGTCCCATCCCGTACATCTCATGCAATGTCCGAGCAAGGACGTCCACGGAATGTCCCAGCAGGTACATCATTTCAAATGTCCTAGAAATAGCATCCCTTAGACGTCCTACGTGGTACATATTGTAGAATGTCCATGCAAGGACGTCCTTGGCATGTCCCTGATGCGACATGGCATGACTTCAGATCTTTTATAATGTCCCTACTAGACAACCATGAAATGTCCCAGATGGTACAGTCCTTCAAATATCTCTGCACAGACGCCCTCAATATTTCTTGGATCTTATTACAATCGAAATGTTCCTTAGGGACATCCTTAGAATATCCGTCGGATGTCCCAATTGGTACATGAACTGTACTCTGCCAATATCCTAGAAATAACGTCCTACGGACGTCCCAGTCGGTACTTTCAATATGTTGTCCCTGCGAGGACGTTAACTTACACCTCGCCGACGAATGATTGCTCGTAGACTATAAATACTCCCCGTCAATGTCCTTCACGTAAGTCCATTAGACATCCTTGGGAAACTTTTTCAGGATCTATTATGGACCTTCTACGGACCATCAACTCAACTGGATGTCCTCATCAGTTATGCAAGATCTGGTCCTAGAGGAACCCAAGAAAATTCGAATCCAAAATTAATTCGTACGTCCTATGGACATCCAATTGATATCCCTCAGCGTTGCTGATAGGTTGTCATACGGATGTCCTAAGGATGTCCTCCTTAGTTCTTGATGAGGAATACTGTAGGATTTGAGTATTCGATAGTTGTCCCAGGGACATCCCTCAAGGACGTCCCTGGTTGGTCCGCAAGTGGGACATTTGTGCGTCCCACAGACGTCCAATGGACGTCCACGGTACCAAATTCAAACGTACCATGGACGTCCTGAATGTCCCGACAGAACGTCCTAATGATATCCATGTGACATAATTGTGTTATTAGGGTAATAAATTTAAAAAACCGTTTATTCTCGGAATGTTCCTCGACAATGATATTATGATGTTGGGTATTGGCACCAACGTTTTAAAAATATTTCACCTCCATGAGTGACAAAAAAATGTAAGTTTTTTTTCTGACATGTATTTTCATCTTGTCGTTGCTTGTAGTAACTTCGTAATTTTGCTGAAGATGGACTAAGTCCGAAACATGTCCCCTTGAAAAAGCACATCATTAAAAAAGTGTGGAGATGACTTTGAGCTTCCCTTCTTTCCTATGAAAAATTCCATTCCACTTTGAGCAAGCATGGACTTCTACCAGAGATCTCCTAATGAATTACTTAATTTCAACCCAAACTGATTTACGCTTTCAGTCTTTGAAAACCTTATCAAGTCCCTTCGTGTACTTGGGAACATTCGAAAAGGAAAATTTGTGATAGCTCATAGCTTTTGGGATAACGAAAGGTATGAAAAAATGAAATAAATTGTCCAGGTCTGCATTTGAAAAAGATAAGTTCATGATGATGGTTTCTGGAAGACGAAACGTCGGATTTCAAATATGAAAACGCCAATTTCTTCAAATAACATGTGAAGAAAAGAATATACAGGGTCTCAGAATTTTTTTTTTGTATATCTCCAAAACTATTCGGAATTTCAAAACAACATTTTAATAGGCATGAAATTGCGCAACTTTGCAATGTTACGCCACTGTGTAGGGCATGGACGATTGAAGGCTAGGCTCCTGGGATAGTTATGAGCGTGGGTTAATAATGTATAGCACTAATTTGTTTACTAATAGAGAATAAAGGAGAGAGTTGATGACTATTAACAGCAACCAGTCATTAACATTAACTGGGATGAGATAAGCTTCGAGAGTTTATATAGGAATGCCATTAGATTATCAGACTATTAAAAACTATAAAATGTTTGATCTTCAATGATCTACAGTAGGTCCCTGAATCCAGCACAGAATCTCGAAGAAACTCATTGAAGATCCTATACCCATATAGCACAAAGTCATTCATAGAACGTCCATAGGATATTTTTAGAGAATATTTGAATAATCTCAAATTATTCTCACAATGTGATACAAATATTCTAGGGAGGTTCTAGCGGACCTGAAACCTTACCACTTCGCCATGAACCTTATTGATAAGTAAAATGAATAGCAAGATGACAACACTATATTAGTGGGATAATCAGCATTGAGGCTAGAGAATAATAGGTTGTGTCAGAGTAAACATTATAAATATTGATGAAAGAATAGGAACATAATTATCATAAATTTTGATACGGTTCTCAAAATTCTCAGAATATTCACAAAATATTCAAAAAGAATATTCTGAGAATATGTCAAATAGAATGTTAATAGAATATTGTTTGCAGAATGAGAATATTCTATGATCATTCTGAGAACATTCTATGAGGATATTCTGAAATAAGCATATATTTGAACGTAAATACGTAATTCAAACCTGAAATGTATAGGTCTTCAAGACGTCTGGTGCTGATTAGGTCAATGGAGCAAGTATCATATTCCTGGAACTTGACTTCCTGTTGAGCGAAAATGAAATATTTCCAGACCTATATACAGTTCTCAACACACCAAATGGACCACTCATAATTTGACTCTATTTCGAAGACCTGTATATTTTTAAAACATTGACCGATCGTCATGCGGTTTTCGATATCAGATGTGATGTTTTATCGGCTTCGAAGAGAGCTAGAACACTCTGAAAAAGTCCGCGAAACAAAACTTACACAGGGTGTAAAGTGGAACCATTACACTATGGTCTACATTTCCAATGCTGCCAGAACTCGAGAAATTTTTTTCTGATCAAAAGTCAGTCATATTATGATACACTGGGACCTCATCTCGGGACGTTTTCGTGATTTCTCCTTAATTGGCCATTGGAACAAAAATTCGATTTTTTTTCGAAAGTCTTGCATTTCTTGATTTTTTTCTCTAGAACTCCACTTGAGCTGACTATTGGGAAGAATTATTCTCATGTTTTATGGAGGATAATGAAAGACGAAAAAAGCACTTTTTTGGAATATACAGGATGATAAGAGAATAGGACAAAATCTCATTTCAGTGAAAAAAATCAAAAATGGTGACTAAAACTATGGCCCATTCGATCAAGTATATTCAGAAACGGCCTTCTCGATATCCATTATTTATATTAGACTATTAACTCGAGATGTTTTCGAAAATTCGCCTCTAAATGAAATACAGGATGAAATTTTCCAATTCAAACTTGTTTCCTGATATCGATGATTTTCAATATTTATTGCCCAAGTATGAGAGACGTAGAATTGTTGTTCAATATACTGAGTGTTTTACAACTTATCTGACAAATTTCAACCACAACTACGATATTACATAGAAGTTTATCACAAAAAAATTCAATAGGAGTGAAACGAGATGGAAAATAAAATTTGTAACACTTTATATCAACTAAAATTATTCGAAAAGGATGATAAGAAAATAGGACAATACAGGATGAAGATTTTCAATTCAAACTTGTTTCCTGATATCGATGATTCTTATCATTTTATCAACGGATTTCCAATATTAATTGCCCAAGTATGAGACACAGAGCATTGTTGTTCAATATACTGAGTGTTCCACAACTTATCTGACAAATTACGAACTCTAGAAAACAATAATATTAGAAGAATGTGGTGACCAGCATTATCTCCAGATCTGAATTTGATTGAACATGTGTGGAGCCGAATGAATCTTAACCTATCGAGAAGGCGAGGCACTTTCGAATAGTTTTTGTGGATATAAAGTGTTACAAATTTTATTTTCCATCTCGTTTTACTTCTATAACATTTTTTTTCGTGATAGACTTCTTATGTAATATCGTAGTTGTGGTTGAAATTTGTCAGATAAGTTGTAGAACACTCAGTACATTGAACAACAATACTCTGTGTCTCATACTTGGGCAATAAATATTGGAAATCATCAATATCAGGAAACAAGTTTGAATTGAAAATTTTCATCCTGTATGTCAATTAGAGGCGAATTTTCGAAAACGTCTCGAGTTAATGGTCTAATATAAATAATGGATATCGAGAAGGCCGTTTCTGAATATACTGGATAGAATGGGCCATAGTTTTAGTCACCATTTTAGATTTTTTTTACTGAAATGAGATTTTGTCCCATTTTCTTATCATCCTGTATATTCCAAAAAAGTGCTTTTCTTGTTTTTCATTGTCCTCCACAAAACATGAGAATAGTTCTTCCCAATAGTCAGCTCAAGTAGAGTTCTAGAGAAAAAAATCAAGAAATGCAAGACTATCGAAAAAAAATCGGATTTTTGTTCCAATGGCCAATTAAGGAGAAATCACGAAAACGTCCCGAGATGAGGTCCCAGTGTATCATAATATGACTGACTTTTGATCAGAAAAAAATTTCTCGAGTTCTGGCAGCATTGGAAATGTAGACCATAGTGTAATGGTTCCACTTTACACCCTGTGTAAGTTCTGTTCTGCGGACTTTTTCAGAGTGTTCTAGCTCTCTTTGAAGTCGATGGAATAACACATCTGATAGCGGAAACCGCATGAAGATCGGTAATTTTTTTCAAAAAATACAGGTCTTCGAAATTGAGTCAAATTATGAGTGGTCCATTTAGTGTGTTGAGAACTGTATGTTTATATGGGATATTTTTCTTTTATTATTACTTTGATACAATGTTATACAGCTTCAGGAGAAAATTCCCAAAAATACCCCAGGTCTCATAGACTTTTTTCTTCAAAAAGTGATTTGCATGGATCACAAAACATAGCAACTGAGGTCTAATCAACATGACTAAAGTCCTGAAATTATCTTATTTTCCACAGAGACACAAGTGATTCACCCAGACGCAGGCAGTATAGGACAGTGCATCAGGAGACTTTAGAGGAAACAGTGAAAAGTAAGAATTATGAGAAAACTAAACTAATTGAATGAAGGATTTAAATAGTGCACCTTCTTTGCTGAAACGAATTCAACAACCCAAATAGAACATCATATTGGCTAGAACTTGGTTTTACATTAGCCGAATATTCGAATATTGAATTTGGAATGCAAATGTTGTAATAACATTGAAATTTTGGGACCATCATCCGATATTTGATATTGGCGAAATATTAACGATTACAATATTTTCTTTTTCATGATGGGCTGGGTATTGTATTTCCAATATCGAATCAATCTTGGAATTTAATATTGCATCAATATCAGATTTATGATAGTCAGTACTGAATATTGTATTTCGCCCAGCAATATTTCAGTGATATTGGGTCTTTGAAATAAATTCGATGTAATGAAAATGATATCTCATCTCTATCATTTTTGGATTGATTTCACTATCGAATCAATATTAACAAAACAATATTTCTCCTATATTATGTCTGGGATGAGATATTGAATATTGCATGAGATTTGCTACGCATATTATTTCAATATTTGTATTTTTTATTAATCCTATAATAGTTCATCAATATTTCAGATAGATAAATCTAGATATAAGTAACTAATGAAATATGTCAGAATCAATATTGCACTGATATTGGATTCCCAATATCAAATCGATATTAGTAATTTTTCTTTTGAGCGACGGTATTACCAGCTGGCGCCACTAGCTGGTCTCTAAAAAACGACTGCTCAGAGGCATTATGCTTATGTAATATTGTACCAATATCGATATATTTTTTTAATGAGGCAATATGGCTTCGAATTTTGAATTTGAATTTTGTTACAGAAACGGAATACAATATTGATTGAATATTATAATTCAACATAAAGATAATATCCCGAAATGATCATATCCTTATTTTGTTCAATATAGTAAAGGCAAACATGAAATCGATATCGAATTTAGATATGATAATTTGAAGAAAGCGGTTTCTATAAGTTGGTATCAAATCATTGTCCAATCTTGTGAGTATACGAATATAAATTCGATATTGAATAGAGCATATCGAAACAAGATTTTGATTCAACATAGCACTAAGATCGCAGAATGTTCACATTGATCAATGACTCAATATTTAAAATTAATATTTCGCCAACATTCACTCTATGTCATTATTGGTTCAATATTCAACCAATATTAGTGTTCTACCTTGGAATCTGGGCGAATCTGCGATGTGACGATATATATTGCTCTGTTTCCAAAATTTTCGGCCTCAATAGTGTTGAATTTACATCGACCATAATGGTTAAATTTAAAGATCTGCTTAGAAAATCATTATCAAGCTCTTTCAACAAATAACATGGTTGCAATATCATCTGGAATTACCAATCCTGTATCCAAAGGTTCTTGATGTGTTGGGATTTGAATAATCGCTTATATATATCGTCACGAATTAATTAACACCATAGTCGTCCAAGAGCCGGCTGCAAATTTTGAATTTTGAACCACCCTGTAGTTGTTCGATTCTGAACACCCTATATCTCTGTAATCGTTTCCGCTAGACACCAAGTGTGAAATCAGCTCTTCAGGAAAAATTTGAAAATGCAGTAATATACAGGGTGTCCCATTTGAAAACACCCATCATCAACCGATATCTTGGAATTCGAACATCCCATAGATATGACAATAATTTCAGGTGATAGCTCTCATAATATCCTATAACTGTTGTATTCGAATATTTTTTATATACTTGACGGTTTGGCTAATGGAAGGGAGGAGAACACACTATTGACTCACCCTGTATAATGAATGAATACGATTAAGTACTGACTACAGAGTATTATTCTGTATCTTATTTCTTCCACAAACATTTATTTAATAGTTATGCGTCAATGATACTTAAAAAACGTCACATATTATGTGTACGAATGAGTCATGAATACAAGCGTAGAAGGGGTGGAAAAAGTACACATCAGACTTCGTCAAAAGCATGATAAAAATTACGGATGTCTCAATAAACGTTGAAATCAGGTCAAACAAAGATCACAGAAAATTTTTGGCGTTATCTCACGTCTTTGACATATGCGTAGGTAATACCTTGTATTATGTTTTTGTTACGTTTCATCATGTTTGTTCTTCGTTATAACGATGATAGGGGCAGGTTGAGACCGTATACCGGCATATTATAAATAAATAGTCGAATTTGTATTTTTTTTAAATGTCTTCTCATTTCTTTATGGAAATGAGATACGAATTCAATGAATATTGCCTATCAATTTGCAAAGTAAATTTCAACCTCAATTTCAACCCATCATGTTTTAAAACTTGTTGTCTAAGTGATCTGTATTTATATGGCGTCTTCATTTACAACAGGATCAAGCATAACAACATATTCGGTGGAGAAAATACTTGAAACTGTGGAACCAACGAACGAAAACAAGGAAAATTCTGCATCTATATCCAACGAAAGAATAATTCAGCAAAACGGTAAGTGAAACAAAATTTCCGGAAAAAAACTTGTATGGAAATGTTCCAAAGGAGACATTCTTCTGCTGTTCACATAAAGAATTGTATTGCACATCTCAACTATACGAGGAAAAAGAGGAAACAATGTTTCATTTGAGCCCTTTGTAATGTGTAATGTGAAATGTATAATCCAAATTGGTAGAATTTCTGATCTACACTCTCCAGGATATCTTGAAAAATGAACACCTCTTGGTGGTGCATTAACTCATATGTCCTCAATATTCTACGAATATCTATCGCTACCTATATTATATACGGGGGAAAAATGTTATCACCCGGATTATATTGTTGTTTCGATGGAAGACTCAAAAATCCGACTCCCATGTCAGAAAATTTTGACTTTGATGAAAAAAGTTACCTGCGATGCATGTTTCCCTTTTTATATTATGTTTTATAGACACTTAGTAATGTCTATAGAATTGATCTAGAGAATTTGATTACGGTCCATCCTGACGCCCATATACATTTCGAAATCACACACACAAGATTTGTTGATTATTTTCTAATTAGGCAAACTGACTATTTTCTGGAACGCCCATGTATTCAATTGCATCTCGATAATGTCTCTATTCGAAAACCGTGTCGAGAAAAAACAATGAGTATGTTTTTGACATGAGGAAAAAGTTTAAACTGATGACCGTCTTGACGGGTGTCTTTTGATTTTTTTTTTATTGCACAGGTTTATGTATCACGGCTTATTACGGTGCCTAATCAAGCCCTGCTTATTAGCACCATGATTCTTTTTTTTATTTCATCGAGAGATTCATGCTAGTATATTTCGTGATTTTTACTATCTGATAGTTCATAATATAGGTAATAGATTCTGAGATGATGGAGAATACGAATGAATTATATTAATAGATATTTTCTCCTCGGTTTGAACACCGAACATCAACTTTGAATTACGATGAAATACAGTATTTGCAATGTCAAAAATGTGCCATTGTCATTGCTACTTCTTTCAGATTCTATGCTCTTTATTTCATTGGGAGTAGCAATCTATGATTCTCAATATACCTTCATGAAAATTTTTACTAAGTTTAATAGGTCGCTGTATTTATTTATATAGGATGATGACAAATTGATCATTTGATAAAAAATATGGTGGTAGTTCTCGAATAGTGGTGAATGTGAATAAAGTTTCCCAAACTCCAGTGGAAGGGTATTGAAATGTCAATAAACATCGTTTTTCTTTTATTTCTTTATCTTATCAGATAAGCGAGGGACACCCGGATAAAGCATTGAAGTTAAATTTGTTCAGGTAGAACTCATAAATATTCCATTCTTGTTGATGAATTTTGATATACCTCAAGATTTCGTGGGTATACTGAGTATATTACGATGCATTAGTAAATAGACAAATAGGTTGATACATTTGAATACCTACTGTTGATAAAAAACATTCCAGTTCGCTATTATACGCCACTCACAAAATTGCAATACATTCCACTGATTACATTAATTCTAGTCCTCTTGGGTCCTTTCAATATTGATTGGTTTCAAGGTGATTATTGATGTTCAGTTTTATGCAATTTCAAATGCTCATTTGGTGTAATATCGAATTTTCATGAACGTTTCTTCTTATTTTTCTTAGTAATTTGTTGATTATATTTCTGCTCATTATTTGGCACAAGTTTCCATTCAGATTTTGTAACATTTTATGGTGATGGAGATACCATGAGGAATATTTATTCAATGTCACAAAAAACAGCACCATCTTGTACTTATCACAAAATCTGCGAACATATTCGTGCCAAATAATGAAGATTTCCTAAAAAGAAGTAGAAACCTGCAAGAATTCAATGTTGTGCTCAGTGGCGGATTTTCCCTAAGGCACAGTAGGCCTGGGCCTAGAGAGCGGCCAGATGGGAGCGGACAATCGTGACAAAACATCCGATTGCCAAGTTGAACACTAGGGGCATTTGGCTGAGGAATTTTGGTGTGCACTGATGTGGAATTACGAGGAATTGCTGAGAAATTGCGAGGCATTTCGTGGTATTGTGAGGCATTGTGAGGTATAACGAGGAATTGTGAGGAATAACGAGGAATTGTGAGGTATTGTATGGCAATGCGAGGAATTTTTGGCATTAACTTGAATGAAAATTCCCTGTCACAGTTTACAAAAACCATATACAGGATGAACTTTTTGACAAAAACTAAACTATAGAAATTTTTTCAAAAACGGTCCTGGATTTTCCCGATTCTGAATAGGTCAGTCGATTAGGGTTTAGTAGAGGAATAAAATCTCAGACGAATTGAAGGAGCTGTTGAAAAGTTATGACCAAAAGATGAATTGTAAGGAATTTTGTGGTATTGTGTGGCATTACGAGGAATTACGAGGTATCACTATTCAATATAGTGAATTATGAGGCATTATTTTGGCATTGAGGAATCAGTGTACAAAATTATGGTCAGCGGAATGCCCCTCGGTTAAACACTTAGTACATCTTATCTTGTATCGTGTATGAGAAACATGTAGTTGAATTAGCGACCCAAAAAATCTTGAACGTTCTATTCAAATGTGCAATTATTTCTGAAACCTAGCTGTCGTATAATAATTAACTAGATTTCTGAGTTGTATTCGGTTGTATTCGTTTAAAATTGGCAATAACAAACGTTCATGTGTTGGACCCTAGGGAGGCCAAGACTGTGGGTGCCTATAGGGCAGCCACGATTGCAAATCCGCCACTGGTAGTGCTTCAGATGAGAATTTTGAATTTAATAAAATTCAAAGTTCACCAAGCACGAAACGACCGAAATATGTAAAAGTTGAAAACTAGGTAGGTTGGAAATGTATCAAAATTAAGCATAATCAAGAAAATTCCATCTACTTTTGTATCATCAGTACTCATAACATGTAGTCATTTACCATATAGATACACACCACACCGTATATCAGTCGATATATGGCATTCTATTCATACATACTGATCCCCTTTACCTACATCATCGCAAAACTATACCGGGTAATTCAATCTCGGAAACGTTAATAAGGATAAAGTGGCACATTTATGTGAATAAAAATATGCAGTCGAGAAAATGTTCAATTTCCGAGTATCTCCGGATATGCAGAGACCTCTACAAAAAACGACCAGTGCTGAATCATTCGAGATCGGATTTCAAAAATTGGTGGGTTGTAAGTATACCAAATTGCTAATCAATTGACATTATACAAATTTTGTTCGATCACTTCCGGTTTCACCAGAAACTATCCTAACTTCAGATTTTTCAATGGTATTCCCTGTATTTTATTCCATGATTGGTTAGGTATTATCATGACAAAACTGACGCTACCGGGTTTGATCAATATCGAAATACCTCTACTTCCTATCTCACACTCATCGAGCAAAAGGAGGAAATAACAATAATTCTGTCAAGTAATGAGCAATTTGGTATTCTTGCTACTCATCAATTTTCAAAATACTATACAGTCTGTCCAAGATAAGGTTGAACAGCATGGGGATCTCGGAAACGGTAGGAGATACGAAATCGGTTAAATGGGGAAAAAGTTGCGCATTCGGAGGCTCATATCAAGAGCCTTCGAAAATTTTGAAAATTATTTTTAGTTTTTGAGTTATATCGAAAAAAGTGAATTTTTGGAATTTCTATTTTATTTTTTTTCTCCGTTATTATCAGAGATACAGAAAAACTGAAAATACTTTTTCATTGCAACTTTTGATGAGGTTTAACGTGGTGATACCGATTTTTTTATGCGACGTTTCGTATTCGTGGAACCATCATCAACTTTTGTTTTTTAAATACGGTCCTGATAATTTTTTCACAGATTCTGAAAGGTTTTTTTATTCTGAACTCAACAATGTACTATACAAGGTGATTCGAATGTGTTTCGACCTATTTCTATCCATCATCAATGTTTTTTCGAACTTTCAAAAGAAAAAAAGCCATCAGTTCCACTTATTTCTTATCATTTAGTATCAAACTTGATGGATTAGTTATTCAATACTGAAAAGTGAATAAAAAATATTTCACTACATCATTCGATCAATGCAGCGTTTAAAATTGTTGATGAATTCTTACACGAATTACTTTATAACAACTTAACTTTGACAATACCTACAGAGACATTCATAACAAATGATAACCATTATTTTCTGAACAAAGATATCCTCTTCTCACAGTTGTTTCTAAGACATTGCTAAGCATTTCTGGGGTTATTCTATTGAATGCTTCGAAGACACTGTCCCTTAGTTCTTCTTCATCCTCAAAGTTATTTGCGTGTACAAAGTTCGATATATCCCCTAAGAAAAAATCCAGCTGTGTTAAATCAGGCGACCGCGCCGGCCAAGGGATAAAAACGCACGGACTTCTCTGGAATTATGTACCGGAGCGCCATCTTGTTGAAACCAACAGAGTTCTGAACTTCCGCAATCGGTAAATCATCCAGAGCTTCCTCAAGATGATTCTCAAGCGAATTTCTATAACGTTCGGAAGTCTGTGTTTCATGGTAAATAGAAGGAACAATAATTCGTGTACCAAATATTGCAACCCACATATTAAAGCCGAAACGGTGTTGGTGTCTCGCTGTAATGTATAAATGTTCATTTTCTCGTGAACAATAATGTGTATTTTTTCTATCGAAGCTACCATGATTAGTGACCATGCTTTCATCAGTCCAGATGATTGTTCGAAAGAAATCTGAAAAATTTTAACATTTCCTGGTATACCACTCACAGAATGTCTTGCGCCTTTCGTCATCGCCTGGTTTTAGCGCTTGACATATTCTGAATTTGTATGGATGGAATTTTTGTTTCCGCAAAATGAAATGGGTTGTTGATTGAAACCAGTTGATGAGGTATTAGTGTGTTGACTAATTTTCCTTCAAAATAAGTGGAACTGATGGCATTTTTCCTTTGGAGTTTCGAAAAAACATTGATGATGGCCAAAAATAGGTCGAAACACAAATGAACCACCTTGTATAATACATAGTTGAATTCAGAATA